CTACTCCACTTATACTACGTATAAGTGTTAGTATTGAATATTATTTTGACGCACCGTGACAAAGTGTTCGTCATGACACAATCATCTTCACTCAATGCTGTCAGCCCTGTCAAAAGCACGGACCAATCCGTCATCAGCCGTCAGAATCACTTCATGTGGTCCTATCACCCTGGCCCTTTATGAAGTGAAGTATGGACATTGTTGGGAAGCTGCCGAAATCATCAGGTCAAAAAGTGTACATGTTGGCGATGACGGTTTATTTCTCAAAATATGTTGAAGTACGAGATTACCAGGTAATTTCATTTATCAAAAGAAACATAATTTGCATAATCACCAAATAACATGCATTGACGCTCACAATACCCAACAACAATATTCCACAAAATGATATACTAGTATTATGTAGTAACACAAGTTAAAAACATAAATAATACAAAGTTATTTTACGACAATTCAAAGTACAATACTCATTGTTGTCCTCCGCTACCGACCATGGACACTTCATTAGCAAATAGATTGTTCATGAAATTTGTAGTTTCCTGTGAAGAGGTTGTGTGGATGGTTGGAAAGGTATATAAAAAGGTGACAACTCCGGTACCCATTTAAAAAATGGGGTACCGTACCTATCATGCATTTGATTGGTTAAAATCATTATATGCTTTTTAATTTAGATTTAAATAATTCAACTGCATCATTCTTATTGGTCCATTTGGACAAAGGTACGATACATTTGGGGTACCATAGAATCTACCATATAAAAATTGGAAATCTTATGGGTAGTACAATGAAAATTTAGATGAAGAGGTGTGAGGAAATCTAGAAAAGGAGACTGGAAAAATAGAGTGGCGTTGTTGGGAAAACGGGTGACATTTATTGTTGAAAATCGAGAGTGGGTTGATCATAACCAAAGAATATAATTGAGATTATGGGTATGCAGATGGAGCTCCCATATTCCTCTCGTGAATTTACAACATTTAACGATCGCCCCATTTTATGTAGCATAGTTAGTTAAATATGGTACCAGAATTAAACGAGGTTTAATACGTACGCGTTTTATTCAGTAACACGAATGAATAAAACGGTCAAAAATTCGTTGAAAAATACGTTGACTTTTAAAAAACGTGTGAATACGTATTCGTGTATAATACGGTATATGTTACAAAAATTCGGACAAAAAATACGGGGTATTATTTTGAACATGTAAAGTATATACTTCACAAAATAAGATATATAACGGGGTATTATTTTGAACATGTGAAGTATATACTTCACAAAATAAGATATATAGTAAAAAGAAATAAAATTATACACATATTCAAGTAGCAAATCTCATCACCACATAAAAGAATAATTCGTAATTACATAGGTCGATGACAAAAATAAAAATAGTAATTAAGTCCAAGGCATAATTTTGTAAAATAAAGTCAAAAAATGAGGCATCATGACTGTAGGTGAGACTAAGTTAAAATCAATGGAGTGAGTTTCAGCCCTGATTACTCTAGGCTCCCCCCAGCCCCCCTCCCCCAGACCCCCCTGGAGTAAAAAAAAGACTAAGTCAAAATCATTATCTTTATATGATCATCAAATAATACTCAAGATAAACTCATTATTTTATCAAGATGATGGAAGCATATGATAAAAGTACATTGTAAGTCTGCTACGCTTATTATTTAATAATACTCAAGTTAAACACATTATTGTTTATGTGTAAAACGGTAAAAGTATATATACTAAAAATATGTCATGTTTAGAAAAACCTTAATTTGATATGCTTGATTGGGAAAACATCATACATCTAGTAGTATTTGAAGTTTCGGTATTTAATTTTAGAAAGCTAGCTTTAGCCAGGCAATTAATTTTAGTATTTAATAATTGGTTTGTAACAATAAAAAAACACGCGGTCACGAGGAGGATATTTTTCTTTTCGCTTTTAAGCTATTGTTGATCTCCTATGCATTTTATGCAATTATTCAATTGATTAGTCCATGCTTCTATTTTTTTGTAAAATACGGAAAAAATACGTTTTATACGGGAAGTAGGAGTTTTTTTCCTTTAAACGAACCGACATTATTTTTCGTTTTAAACGCGTTTAAAACGGAAAAAAGCTAACTAGGTTACGTAGCACGAGCGGCTCCTCAGAGCCGTCGTGTCTAGTTCTCGGTCGGGCTCGTCGATCCCGATCATGTTGGGAGGGAGAGCATCTTGCCGGCACATTATGTCCAGAGAGGTGGGCACCCATTCGTTTAGCAGAATTACTCGAAGATACAGATTCGAGAAAGACAAAGGAAGAGCGCGATCAAGAATATACTTTCTCGAGCATATTAGCACGCTCACTACTCAAGAAACTAGGGGACTTGTGTTGATGCATATTATTCCAGCCTACTACTGTTTAGAGGTCCAAGGCGTTACCCCAGTACAGAGCCTGATCAGTTGGGGGCCATTTGGGCCCGTTTAGGCCCACTTGACCCATTTAGGCGCGTTTCCACTCAGCCCATTTGGCCCATTAGGCCAGGATAGCTTTTGTACCCCTCCCCCTTTCCTATAAATAGGAGGAGTTCCCTCCATTTGTGGATGGCTCTCTTCTCCCCTTCCATTTCTTTTTTTGCACCCTCTTTCTAGATTAGCTTGCAACCTCCATTAATGGAAGCTTCATATATACTTGTACTATTTAAATGGTGAGGAGAGTATTAATGTGAATGAGAGTAGCTTGAACAATAGCCCAAAAAGTCCCGTGACTTTCTCCCTTTCAGATTTCCACGTTAAAATAGCTCGTTCACAGATTCACTTAGACATTATGTACATTTATTTACTGTTTCGTGTTGAATTAACCAAACAAGTATCAAATTATTTTCTCTCTCTAACTCGTAGTTCTATCTTCTCTCTACAATACCACTAGCAGTTTACCGGTGAATTATCAGTATACATAAAAATAAAATGAAAGGAAGACAGAGTTATATATGTGAAGTTAGGTTATCGAATAATTCAATAATGACTAAATACTCAGGTACTTTTTTTGAAACAATACTCACGTACTTTTTTTTTAAACAATAATACTCACGTACTTCTTCGTCCAATTGAGAACATGTCATATTTTATGTCCATCATAACTATACTATAATACGAGTAATATAATTAAGAGCCATTTTCCCATTATATACGTATCCACAATCAAAATTCATTAACATAGAAAAATTAACATAGAAAAATAAACCAACGGAACGTAATGATCAGACCATGTTGTGACACGAACTCAATCTGTATAATCAATACACCGGCTTGTGCTGCCTGTTTATTAGGCTAATTATGTTTGTTTACGTTTTTTATTTTTTTTTAGTGAGATTGATTGATTATATACTTTCCCATAAAAGAATAAAAAACAATCTAACAGAATTATTATTTACAAAATGTTCAACGTAGTTGGTAGTATATGAGATGTTTTTTTTATTTGGACTTATTCCACTTCTAGACCATATTAGATTTAAGCAGACCAGACAAACCAAACTTAAACAAATCAGAACAAATCATACACCAACAATTGTAAAATACACAAAATCATCAGATCAGAATAATTCAGATCAGACTAGACCAGATCGGAAAATTTCAATTCAATTTAAAACATATATACATAGTCTCACAATTAGAGGCTTTTACAATGAGATAATTTCCTACATAATATAGGAGGAAAACATTTTCAAATTTCTCAAATATGAGTCCATAGTTTCTTCCCAATATAGGAGCACTCATATTTAGGGAAGTTTTGATTCTTGTAATAGGACTAAATACATTCTAATTGGAGAAGAAAATATAACTAGTCATAGGGTACGTTTGATACAACTAGCTGAAAAGACACTTTTATGTGTTTTTTAGCTTTTAGTGACTGAAAAGATCTTAAAATAAAAAGGTGGTAAATGATAGATAAAAAGCTGATTATATTGTTTGATTTAGTTATGTTTGGCATACAAGCTATTGAGACTAATCAATGCTAAAAGCTACATATATACTTTTCTCAGATGTTACTCACTGTAGCATTTCGAAAAAGATATCGTATTCTTAACAAAGCTCTTAACAATCACACATACAACTAGAAGCGTTTAACGACTGAGTGCATGTTTGGGAGACATACGTCCTTACCTTCTAGCTTTTTCAGCCACTTGTGCCAATTGTGTTAGAGAGAAAAAAATTAACTAATACGAAGTATATAGTACTATATATGTTTCTCTTCTTATTATTGTAATAAGTTTTTCTGTGTTTGATATGTTTTTGTATACAGTGTCAAACACAACGTCTGAATACAGGTATTATGATTGACATTATAGGTAAAATGTAACTCAAAGTATAGAAGACTATAAAAAGCATTATGAAATGAATCGAAACATTACAAAAATTCAGTTCTAATCGATTCTCTGATACCTGATTCTGACATCCCAACTTTATCGAATGTTGTGTTTATTTGGTAGAATATCTTAAAAGTCTGTTTTCCAAAATTGGTGGTATACTCTTACAAATACATAACCGTCCCATAATTTAATAGAAAATTGCTACAAATTAGGGGCATAGCTAGTGGGTCAATTTAGTCCTCGACTCACCCAAAATCTCAATTTTGTTTAAATTGTTAGGGTAAAAATATTCCGTGTGGAAAAATTTCCAAAAAACATCTTTATATCAGTGCAACCCAATGGACTGCCCTGACTACGCCAAAGTTTCAAATATGACTAAAATATAGACGAAATGTATAAATATGAGTTGTTATCTTTTATTAGCAAGATAAGACTTATTCGAAAGTATTGTGCATAAAACTTTCTCGTGAAAGAATCATTACCATAGTTAAGAAAGTTAAAGATTGTCCTAATTTTATTGAACCACGTGACAAAACGAACTTTTTAAATTTAGCAAATACCACTCAATAATATACGGAGTGCTAGTATTTGAAAAGAAAAAAGAAAAAAAAAAAACCCTACCCTAAGCTACCTCTGGCCTGGCACAAAGACATTATTATTATTCTCACTACTACTACTATTTCATCTATTTCGTGCGGGCTCTCGATGTATTATCAATTAAGATCCTTTTAACAAGGTGATATATTGAAACTGCCAAACACAACACAACAGCTCAAAGTGGATTTCTCTCTTGCTTTCTAGCTTTAGGACCATCACTTGTTGGAAGACTCATTGCTTTCTGTTTGCTTTTCTTTTTCTTTTCCTCTCTCCACTTTTCTCTCACCCTTTGCTCAAATGGATTCTTCTCAGTGGCCACAGGTAAACACATATTCAACCATCTTCTCTCTATCTTTACTTCTCTGGCCTGCTTGCCTCTATATATACACATGATATGACTCATAATTAAACATCTATATGCTTACAATATATCCTTAATCCTAGCTAGCTAGGGTTTAGAGAGAGAAGTTCAAAAAAATCAGTTATGTATATATCTACACACATATATGCATATATATTTTATTGATCTTAACTTTGCTTTGGCTCTTAATATTTCATCTACAATCTTCTTTTTTTGTTGTAATCATAGTTTGAAAACCTACTTTTACAAGCTAAGAAATGTCCCTTCTTTAGTTGTTTAATTCCTGTTTCTATTGTTCCAATAAATTTGTTATCTAAAGAATGCACATCGTTTTAATTAATTTCTTCCTCATTCTTCAACTACGTAAAAATGCATATGATATCTATCAACTTGTGATTAAAATCGAATTTACATCTTATTAATTAACCCGGAGGGTGTATATCCTTTTTCTTTCTACCCTCTTCAACAACTTCATTCTTCTATAAATCTTTAAATAATAGCCGTGCATCTATTTTAGCAAGGTTGTACCTGCACCTAGCTAGAGCTAGGTCGGAGATAGCTTAGCCCAATGTGTACAAATTAAATAAATTAAACTAAGAGAATATAATGAAGAATATCTGTTCACAAGGGAATATTTGTATTTTGTGTTTTATGTGATTGGAATGAACAAGAAAATATCTTCCCACTTGTAGGTGTAGCTAGCGATTCTTTGATATTTTGTACGGAGTAGAAAACATTTTCTCATTTCGAACTAGGGATATGTTTTACAAAGAATACTTTTTTCCAAGAAAAAATTGTTTCAAAAAAGATCTTTTCATCAAAAACGTTTTTTTTGGATTTGCCCTAAACAGTACTCCGTAGGTAGCATTAAGAGTAAGGTAGTTTTACTAAATACCCGTATTATGTTTTTACCAAATGAGAATAAAGAGTGACATCTTAAAACCATATTGTTAAACTCAAATGATATTGTCATTTTTTAATGCTTGATGTAATTTAATGATGAATGCCAGAAATTTACTTCTGTTTAGAAAAAAGAGATAAAGAAAAAACACAACACTGTATTAGGCAAATTAAACCACCTTATTTAGTTATCTATACTCTTATTTTCCAAATTTCCTAATTAAAACATACTCCATACGAAGTACGTAGTATTACTGTACAGGTTTTCTAGTGGCAAACACTTGCAGTAAATCTTTGATACTCCGTATTTTGTAGAAAACGTTTTCTCCTTTTGAACACGGGGTATATTTAATTTTACATAGAATAACTTTTCTTCAATAGTGATTTAGATCATGATACATATATATAGTAAAACTTTTTGAAATTGCAAAATATGAGTGAAAATAAGGACCATGGTATGGTTTTCACAAAGTACCTTTCTTTAAATAGGAATAAATATTGTCATCTTGAAATTATACTTTCATACTGAGATAACCCGGCTCAATTGCCTTGATGTCACTATGAGTCTTTAGATCAGAAAATCAATGGCATAAGATGAGAGGGTCTGTTTTTGCACAGATCTCAAGATCCTAAATTTTAATCTTTGTTCTTCAATTGAGTAAGGCACCCTACCATTAGGCAGATGATCTCAATCCCACACTCATATACGATAGTATATCTTAATGTATGATTCCAATGTGAATACTTGACTCAGTCCTATTTGAGAAACTGGTCCAACTCAGTTGATCGTTGACTCACCCTCCTTTATGAGAGGTCCCCAGTTCAATTCACAATGGAGTGAGATTGATCTCTGTATTCCGGTCCCCCTCCCCCCTCCCCCGACTCTGGGCAAAAAAAAAACTTGACTCCTATTCAAGGAAAAACACTCCAACTTGTTTTTACTCTTGTTTTGAGAAACTTACTATAACATTTTTACAAAACAAAAAAAGCCATAGATTTGTTTTGCCTTGGTTGTTTATATGTGCCAAAACAATTGATAAATGTGTATTTGTAGAAACATAGAAAGTAGCAGTGCTGTAAATATATACACATATATACATATACATGAGTGTGATGATGATGATGATGTGTTGGGATGGCAGGGTGGTGTGGAGGGTAATAGTCCAAAGAAGACAAGGACAGAAAAGGAAAAAGCGGCATTGAATTGTCCAAGGTGTAGTTCCCCCAACACCAAGTTCTGTTACTACAACAATTATAGCTTGTCCCAGCCCAGGTACTTTTGTAAGACCTGTAGGCGCTATTGGACCGCAGGTGGTTCTCTGAGGAATGTTCCGGTCGGCGGCGGTTCAAGAAAGCACTGCCGGAGATCCTCTTTTTCATCTCCCTCCCTCTCTTCTAACAAGAATCTCATCACTTCCACTGCCCCAAAGATGAATTACCTAGCTTATGATCCGCTGCCGCCTGCGACTGTTACCGGCGGCAGCGGGAATAACAATACTTTCAGCGGCATTTCTGGGCTTGTGAATCTGAATCTGAATCAGAATCATCAGCAGAAAAATGGGTTTTTTTCTTCTTTCATGGGCATGTTGCCGCTGCCGGCAGCTGACCATATGTTATTTCCGCCGCCGGCTGGGGTTCATCCAAACGGCGGCGGCGGCGGTGCCTTCAACTTTTGTTTGGATGGGTTTTATGGGAATTTACTGCAAGGGTCCGGGGGCGGTTCAGGTAATGCCAGGCTCCTCTTCCATGATGCTGATGTGAAGCCTGCAGTTTCGGCGGCGGAGATTGACAATGATCGGCTGTTTGGTCAGCGGCGGCCGCCGGAAGAGGAGGCAGCTGCTGGCGGCGGCGGAGTTGGTGGTGATACGGGGAATAATGGGTATTGGAATAATAATAACAGTAATCATAATTATGGGATGCTAGGTGGAGGATCATGGATGGTGTGATTAGTTAATTAATGAATAATTAATTAAATATAGGTGGTGCTTATTTGGTGTGGGGCTTTTGTTCATTTCATCATTTTGTTGCATGTTCTTCACTAATTTTTCTTGTTCATGTTACCTTTGGTGATCAAATGTTGGTTTTTAAGTGTATTGATCAATCAAGTAATAGAGTAATTAACAGATTGGGGCCGGTTTGGACGTAGTGTTTTATTCATATATTCAATTCATATCTCATAGAGATCAACATTATATGGTGCTACATATATTTGGGAGTTCTGCCCTAGCTAATAGCCTATTATACATGCTATGCTTGAATTGAATTTGTTTCTTACTACTCTGTGAGTTCTTTTTGAACAAACTCGTTTGATCAGTAAATTTTATTTTGTGTTTCTTTGAACAGTTCTCTACTGGCTTCAATTAATTTATATTTCCATTTTGAACTACTTTTTCTCACTTAAGAGTTAATTTCAACATTTTACTTTGGAACTTCAATCTTCTATCATATTTTTCTTGTCACATTTATTAGTTGAACTTATTTCAATCCCAGACTAGAACTTATTGTACTAAATTTAAACAGATCAGAATAGATCGCATTTAAATAAGTCAGACCGGATCAAACTCAACAGTTGTAAAATACATATAGACTAAACAGCATCGACCAGACCATACTGGATCTGAAAATTTCAATTCAATTAAAAATATCCCAAGTATTGTACCGTACATTATATTGGGTGCAATAGCCAATAGACACGAAAAGTACATGTTGTTCATAGGGGTATTTAAAATTGGTTCTATTTTTGCTTTTTTTGTTTTAAAAGTAAAATTAGAATTAATTTTTCAGAAGCTAGTCTCCTCCAACTTCTTAAAAACTATTTATAGGAGTAATTTGAAACACTTAAATGTACTTTTGAAATTTCACCCAAATACCCAGATATCCGCTTCAGCGAGCTGAAGCGGGCGGATGAAAACATTCCCAAGAACGTTTTCATATGTTAATTAAATCTAGTTTGAATTGAAATGATCTAAGAGCATCTCCATCCATGCTTCTTGAATATTCGGTTTTTATGCTTTTGTCTTGGCATGTCATTACCACATAAATAAAATTAATGTCGACCAATTCCCCTTCAACCATGATCTCTATTTATTTACTTTTTTTTATAAACAATGCCCTCATTAATTTAGAATTGAACTCCATATGTTATTCCTTATATTGTACCCGCATATATTTCAAGAGTAATTATTGTAAAACTTGGAAAATAGTGTCATATTTAAAATCTGGTAATGCATGTCAAAATATGACAATAATTACTCCAATTTAGGATATAAAAACATGAAAGTCTTATTTTAAAATTTACGAAATAAGAGTAAAAACGTTTGAGAATTCTGAAATAGGGTTGTCATGTTTTATTTTAAATCCTAAATAGGAGTAAGGATGTTTTTTTGAGCGTTTTCAGTACCAGACCAGATCAGATCATATCAAACCAGACATAAACAGACAAGACTGGACCAAACTTCAATTACATAGTTATAAAATACATAGAAACCATACATTTACTAGACCGGACTAGATCAGACCAGACCAGCAAATTTCAGTCCAAAAGAAAACATCCTAAGCACATTCAAACTTGGAAAATAATGTCATATTATAAATTTGATGCTGCCTAAACATGACAATAATTACTCATATTTAGGGGAACATGATATAATCCTCTTTTGAAAAACACAAAAAATTTCAATCTTTTTTTTTTTAAATCCAATAACTATATTAATAACTGTTTAAAGCATGGATAATACAAGTAGGTTGAATATCCATCCAAATACCGACAGACCCAGAACAGGCTTCCCTGGAAAGAATGTGAGCAGCCTGATTCGTTGTACGGTGCACATATTGGACACTTATAACAGTAAAATCAACCATCATGTGTCTAATATCCTAAAAATAATGTCGTTATAGTGTATGCCGTCTCCCCGAGTAAGCCCCTGGACAATTTGCTTGGCATCAGATTCCACAATGACCCGATGTCATCCCCGTTCCAGTGCCCACTTAACCGCTTCCTCAATCGCCATTGCTTCCGTTGTCCCAGGTGTAAATCTCCCCTTTAATTTCTCATAATGCTCCTCCCTGCTACAAACTGTCCATTACAGTCGCGAACAACAAGGCCCAAGCCTCTTGCATCTCCTAGTTTGAAGTTGCGGCATCAACATTAATCTTCACCCATCCCCCTCCGGGGGTTTCCAAGAGTCATTTTCCCCGCTGAAGTCTGCGCCTTAGACTTAGGAAATTGCGCAGCCTTCCACCCGTCCCAAACTGTTTCGCCGCAGGTGATTACTCCCTTCCAATTTGGATTCAAGTTTTTCCAAATCTTCTCATTCCGAGCTTTCCACAAGCTCCCAAAACTTGAATGGGGAGTGGGCGTCGTTGGTGGCAAATTTTCCAAACTCCTCTTTCGTGCTACTCGCTGCCACCAACGACGTCCAGTCCCCAAAACTCCAGGCTGCCAAAGTCAGAAAATTCCTGCCCCTGTTATTCCACACCGCCCGAGCTAAAGTGCAGTCTCGGAGAATGTGCAGCGAGCTTTCTTCTCCATGTCCGCAAATCAGACACTTTGGCCACAAAGGCACTCTCCTTTGGCGATTCATTCGGTGTGGGTTGTATATAAGGCACACCGGTGTGGGTTGTGAGGTGGACCACTCTTCTCTGGACACTTGTACTCATTAAACCACATCACCTTTCCCCTTGATTGGGAGTATTTGCGTCATGGCCCAGGCCCCTCTAGGCAAATACACGTATTTGTACTCCAGGTACTGACACTTGTTCCGATATGAATACACATAAGGGGTTTTCCCTTTTTTACCCTCGCACCACTCGTATTCCGCACAACCGTACGCCAACCTCCGTTCATCGCCTTGAATATCCTCGGGCCGGTTCGTCTTTCTTTTTCCGGTAATCACTGTCATGGATTTTCAAAGATTGTTGATTTTAATGGTTTTCCATTCAATCTACTAGATTTTGAGGGACTTTTATCCAGTTTCTGGCTAAAATTTATTGGGGAGAAGGGAGACCCGCTGCGCTAGATGGGAGAGAGTAGAAGCCTGGGTTGAGTAGGTTATTCGATGGAGATGATTCTGAAATCCGAGCGGGTGGGTGAGATTTTCTATGTAGTGTTTTTTTATCATTCCATTCAGTTCCGCGAAAATCATTCCAGTAAATAAAGATTGAAGTCTGTAGGTGGGTTGTTTGAAGGCACACGTATTCCAATACATTTGCCTGTGCATTGGAACAACATTGTGCTTCAGTGGATAGTGTGCCTGTTACTATTTTGGTGTTCAATTTCAATATAAATTTGAAATCTGAAGTTTTCTTTTCCTGATTTCTTCTCCAGGAAGTTGTAAAAGATCTCGAAGTTGAAGCAGGAGAGATTTAGAAGAAGGAGAGTTATTATTCATTCTGAATGAGAAGGGTACAACAAGTGTATATACACATTTAGGCTAACAGTATTACAGTTGAGTCTATAACAACTTGTCTAACAAGACTCTAACTAACTAAGCACATCTGCAATTTGAAAAGGTGCAGGAATGTGATAGACTTCCAGTTGTTTCAAATGAACTCTTTGTCGAACAATGTATAGATCAAGCTCCATATGCTTGACACGAGAGTGTCGAACTGGATTGTGAGCTAGACTAACTGTGCTTGGGTTATCACAGTGAACTCTGGGAACACAGTATGAAGCTTGAATATCTTAAAGTAAGGACTTAATCCAAAGGATCTCTCTGTGGTATCTGCAAGACTTCAGTTGATGATCTGGCAACACAGGCTCTTGACCACCATGAAATAAGATTAGGACCAAGAAGAGAGAACAAGTATATCATCAACATAGATGAGAACATAGATTCTAACACTGTTGTGAATGAAAATAAGAAGAGAGGGATCTCATCTGGATTGCTTGAAACCAATACTGTACGGGGCAGAGGTCAGTTTAAGAAACCAGGCTCTGGGAGCCTGTTTACATTTGAAAATGCATACAGTTACATCAGAATTTCCCTAAAGTTACATATTGTATACGGCGCGTTACATGTCAACTTTTCTTAACAAGTTACATCATGTTTACAATTGATTTACAATTTCTAAAACGCGTGTTACATTACAATATAATGCGAGTTACACAACCTAATAAGTAATAACCCTCTTCTATTCCAATATCATTTTTATAGCCCAAATATTAAAAATAAAGCATATTCATAGTTTACATAGAGCGATTGTTCAATTTGTAATTAAACTATGGATTTCACAAGTTACATTTCGAATTCACTTGAGTTACATTGATCAAATATCTTGGAAATTGCAATGAAATAATTACATTGGACAAATGAAGAGACACGCTAGAAGTTTGTATTAAATTAATTAAGTATTAGTATTGCGGATATATTCTTCTATTTATGCTAAGGAGATACTCTTATTTTTACTATAGAATTCTTTTATTCTTAGCAGTAGTATCCTATTGTCATTCTCCTTCCTCCAACTTAGTTGCTATCTTTTGTACTCGGCAATCTCTCTCACGTCACCAAGGTCGAGTTCATGCTCAAGGCGAGGACGAGGTAGAGGAGGCTATAGGCCATATGAGAAGGTCTACAATAACAGGCCGACCGGGAGAGACCAAAGGTCGTGGCAGAGGAAGGGCGGTCGAGTTTACGCCTTACGGTGAGTGTTCTAACTGTGGAAAGTATGGACATTTTGCCGGAGACTTAGCAATAGACACTCTAAGGTGAAGGCTGTTTGAGAGTTGGGTTGTGGATCGGTGTTTAGGACAACTCTTGATCAAGTCTTCTTTGATGTGCCTCTTCTAACTTCTTCTTGGCCTCCTCCTTGGCTCTTGCTTCTTCCTTTCTTTTCTGATATCTTTCTCCTCTTGAAGTAGTGTGTTCTTTCTTCTTGTCTCTGCTCCTTTCCTTGCTGCGAGCTGTCTTGAAGAGGAGGGTCCTGCTCGAGTGTTTTCCCTCTTTTGGCATCATCAGGTTGATCTTGAAAGAGTGTTTCAATATCTCGGCAGTAGCTTGAGCAGTCATCTCGGCAGCAGTCTACTTCCCACCCTACTGCTAACCCTACTGCTAAGTAAACTGCTTGGCTAAACACTTGCTTAAAAAGACATCTCTATGGTTTAGAAATCCTCTACACTCCTCATAAATATCCTAATCCAAACAGAGGTCTCAAAATTATAAACTTTAGCAGCGAACCAGAGTAGATGCTGCCAGGCTGTATTTTTTAATTGATTAATTGATCCAAACGACGTCGTTTGGATAAGTGCACAGCATAATAAAAAACGACGTCGTTTAATACTTTCCCTTAAGCATCTTAAGCCCTTTACGCGTTGACCACTTCACTAGGTTCCCCAATC